AGCCTAACTTCGATCACTTATTTATTTTCACAATATCGAGGCTTAATCGATCAGTATCATTTTCGAATGATAGTTTGGGTTATTTTAGCCAGTACATCATAATTAACAGCCTAAACATTATATGTATATATGATAAAATATTTTTCACTGCAAACAATAATAAAGCTTTACGAAGATATGCATATTTATGAATCTGCAGTGAATATTTCACAAGCTTTACACGCGGCAAGGCCAAGGGGTTGGAAGAATATGCAAAATACAAACAAGAAACGACAAGGCGCCTTTAAAAACATAATTATACAAATATGATTTAAAAGGTTTTTGTGTTCGGTTAAATTTATCCAAGTTAAATGATCCAAAACTGCCGTTAAAAAAAAAAAAAAAAAATGATCCAAAACTATGTTAATAAGCATAAATCGTGTAGAAATCATAGCCAAGTTGTATCTAAATTTGACAAATTTTGATTTCTTAAGGTTTTTTTAAAAAAACCATTACCAGTTTTATTCTTTATCACTAAACAGAACCAGATTTCTCTTACAAAAAAATGAAAGAAAAAAGAAGTACAGAATCATCATCTCTTACGCATCTTATCAAGAATGGCTACATTTAAGCTAACTTCGACACGTGATAACATTTGTCGGACGCAATTTTCATACACAACCACAAAGTAATCACCACGTCACCTTCTCGTCAACTTGGCTTTCTGAATGGTGACAAATGGCAATGAGTCAGTGGTTGATCTTGACAACTTTGATTGCTACTTGTCTGAATTTCTTCTACAGATCTAATTCATTACAATGTATACGAACAAATTTCGCCCCTTTCCTTATTGAAACAACTCGATGTAATTTTCTGGTTTTAACGCACAATAGTAATAGGTGATTTATAAATTTTTAATTAATGGCTTAAGTGACGATCGATGAAGCCGCCATAGTTCACAAATGGCCAAATTTAATTTGTTGTTTGTAATTGATTAGTCAATAGAGATTTCCGAGAAGCAAGGTGAACGTAACCTTAAACTAATCATTAGAGCATTAATTATATAAGTTGCGTTTATCATAAATATTTGTTGCTTAAATTACAATTTGTCAAAATGCCATGGTTGAGATAATTTGTGTGTAAGAGCCTAAGACGGAACTTGTGTATTTTATAAGAAAATATACTATCTTCATGTAGAATTTTTATCTCTGTTTATGAAAAGTATTTTGGATGTTCGATGCAGATTTTTAGACAGAAATATACTTCTATCCATATTACATATTTAGCTTGTTAAATAGAAATAGAAACTTATAAATATAGTAATTAAAAGTATAATAAAAAAATTAGATTTTGTTAGTATATATTAATATTGGTATTGGAAAAGTCAAATAAACTATAGGAACACCATTGCTTTAAAAATATTTCTGGATGGGGATACACTTTTTAAAACAGCCATGTTAAAAAGGAAATTAAGAGGATAGTAATCTAATTTTGTCCAGTTACAAGAAAGTGAACAAATCTCATAATTAAGTTTTAACATTCCTCCTACCAAAAAAAAAAAAAGTTTTAACATTTGCATGGAAGTCAATAATTCTAAAATCTTTGAGCTCGTGATAATCTTCTTGTCTTTCGTGTAGGGAAAGTAAACGCGTAAATAAATGATCGCGTAAACTATATACCCGGCTATATAAAGGTATGTGATATGCAAATATATCACATACCTTTATATATTTTTTCTGAATATATTTTTTGGGCAATGGATTGAAGAGTTGAAAAATTATTTATCAACTTAACCACATACTTACATACAGTCACAAATTTAACCATGATTAATCTTCTTTTGGGATTTAGCGAGATAAATCAAAGATTGGGTTTTATTTTATTTTATGACACTAATGAAAAGTCACTTTAAAACGTGTTTCACATAACCGACCTCTAAAGAATGGCGTGCGAGTAACGACAAATGAAAATGGAAATTATTTTAATCTTATGATTTGTGAAGTATTTATTATAACACCCGTCGTACATCCTGATATGTGAACGTGGAATCTCGTTACACAGTCGAATAAAATTATTGCTTAATACGATCTGTCTTTCTCTCTCTTTCGTAATGATTATCTTGACTAATAAAAGTATCGCAAGGCCTTGTAAGTCACACTCACATGTTAAATGATGATAATATGTAATATGTTGTTGTGCATGTTAAAACATAGTGCAATGATATCTAAGCTGCTGCTAAATTCTGTTTAAAAAATGCATTTTTCTATTCATCTTTATAGTATATTAGACTTTGTAATAAATAAATCGCAAACGGTACAAGGCTACAAGCCTTAATAAGGTTGCTATGACAATCACTTAAAATGCATATGTAGTAATCAAATTTTAACTAATAGATCTATCAAAGTAATCCATTTGATATTTGGAACTAAATTAAGAAAAAAGGAAATTATCTAAAAAATTTTTTTTACACCATATACGAGAACATTAAAGTTGTGATTAATTACTAATATAAATTGTTTTGACACCAAACTGTTTTTCAAAATATGTATAGGAGAACTTTAAGTTGTGATTAATTACTAATATACGATTAATTGAGGTTAACAGAGCCATTTCGCCCCTTTTGTGTCAACCTACGTTATCATTCACTTGATCACTTCCATGGAACAGATAATATCAATCTTAAAAAGAAAAATAAGTTTGAGAATATGATCAGTACGTAGTTGGATGATTAGTTCACATCAAAATGAAATACGACTTAAACTGAAAGAGACATGAGCCAATTCGTGTCAAGCCACAAATTTTGGACGTATATTTTTAATTTTAGCCCGTGGTTCCACAACATTTGCAGGTCTTTATTTATGGGTAATGAGTTTTTTTTTTTTTTTGTCTTGGTTAAATAATGAAATTTCCAAATTAGAAAAATAATAACAATCTGAGGCCCTACACTACTAGCACGCACAGTAACTCCCACATTATATATAAAGCGGCCAATATTAGCAACACAGAGATTCCAGAAAGAAAGAAGAAACAAATAATTCCAAAACCTTCTCTCTTAATCGAAATCAAGAAACTTGCAAGATCTGGTGAAAACCATGGAAGAAGGAGATTTGTTCAACTGCTGCTTCAGCGAGATTAATAGTGGCATGACCATGAATAAGAAGAAGATGAAGAAGAAGAGCAATAACCAGAAGAGGTTTAGCGAGGAACAGATCAAGTCACTTGAGCTTATATTTGAGTCCGAGACGAGGCTCGAACCGAGGAAGAAGGTTCAGGTAGCTAGAGAGCTAGGGCTGCAACCAAGACAAGTAGCTATATGGTTTCAGAACAAGAGGGCTCGTTGGAAAACTAAGCAACTTGAGAAAGAGTATAACATTCTTCGATCCAATTACAACAATTTGGCTTCACAATTTGAAATCATGAAGAAAGAAAAGCAATCTCTTGTCACTGAGGTACATAATGATTATATTGACATCTTTATTTTTAATTGAACAGTGATGAAACAAATTTTGATTTGATGTTTTTTCTTTTCTGAATTATATCCATGTATAATGTTTGAGGGGAAGATTAATCAGGGTGACAAAAACATGGATAAACACAAAAGACGATAGAAGCAAAGAAAAGATCTCTGATGGGTTTTGTGACCTAAATTTGATATTAATCAATCTCTATTTTGCAGTTGCAGAGACAAAATGAGGAGATGCAAAAGCCTAAAGAAGAAAAGCATCATGAGTGTTGTGGTGACCAAGGAGTGGCTCTAAGCAGCAGCACAGAGTCGCATAATGGAAAGAGTGAGCCAGAAGTGAGGTTAAACCAAGGGATTGTTCTATGTGATGATGGTGATTACAACAACAACATTAAAACAGAGTATTTTGGGTTCGAGGAAGAGACTGATCATGAGCTCATGAACATTGTGGAGAAAGCTGATGATAGTTGCTTGACATCTTCTGAGAATTGGGGAGGTTTCAATTCTGATTCTCTGTTAGACCAATCTAGCAGCAATTACCCTAATTGGTGGGAGTTTTGGTCATAAAAACATATAAGAAAGAAACAAAACATAAGTGAAGAGAAAGAGTGTGAATAGTTTGTAGATTATGTGTTAAGAAAAATAAATTTTAGTTTAGTTTAAATCTTGTTTCGATCTATGTATCTACTATGTTCAATACTCTTTGTAGCTAGTTAGTAGTAAAGTCAAGACTTTCACAGAGAAGTAGACAAACTAGATTATTGAACAAGAACTTCAAGAAAATCTTGAGACAAACATATGAAAAAGTAGCTTATGATGAGACTAGAAAAGTTTTGAAGTCATCATGGTTAAATTTGTGATTGCAAATACTATTAGGACAAAGAAGCTTCCAAGCCTCTTGGACCAAGCGTAATGATCACAAGTACAAGAGTCTTCGTCCATAATGATCTCGCAACGGATTCAAATTTTAACCTAAATTTAAAACTAAGTGCATTTATCTCTATATTGGTGCTCTGCTATAATGCTTTCAATATCCTGGAGACGAATTGGCTATGAATTTTATCACCAAATATCAGTTCTGATCACATTTCGGCTCATCATCTCAGGTTCCTCTGTTACTCCCTTCCTATGAGATATTTGTAGCTGGATAGAGATCCAATATATCACACACTGTTTCATAGTTTTACACTTCAACTATTTAGAAAAGCAGCAAATACGAAAAGTTGAATTGGTAGTTCTTGATACTTTTGATTGATAGCGTCTTAGCGAAGACAACAACAACATGGATTGTTAAAAAATGCTCTGTTCTGTATTATTGATGGTTAAGTCACTCAAATAAGAAAACGTCAAATGATTTATCTTAATAAATGGTTGCACAGTAAAGAAAACACATTACTGTTGTAAGTTCTAACGGCAACTTTTTTTTATTACCGTTGTGACTTATGATTAATTTCTATTTTTTTATTTTCTCATTAAACCAATTTCCTTTTTTTAAAAACAACTTAACATTTCCTTTTTCTTTTCTGATTAAACGAATTTCCATTTTTTTGTGGTTAACCTTCCCTTATATATATTGACCGCTTCTTCTATAATTCTCATTCGTCTAAAAGAAAACAAAAACCCTAATTCTTCATTCTTTCTTTAATACCTAATTCTTCTCGAACTCGAGCAAGCTCTGTGAATGTTTAGAAATCTGAGAGAATCATCGATCTCGAAACCATCAGCCGATCGATGCTCCATGTAGACTGATGTTAATCCGACAAAGTCAGAGACCAATGCCGTCGGAACTGTAACTCGAAAGATTTTCTCGTGTTTGATCAATCAGAATGATTCCAAGTCGGATCTCTCTAATCTCACAGGAGCAAAAGATCTCGCCACTGTTCAAGAGGTGATGAATATCCTTTCTTTTTGTTTATCTTGATTCGTTTGGTATTATATTGCTTGCGTCTCTGTTTTTGCGCTTTTGCCTGGATTATAACATCGAATGTCTGATATCACTTACTTTCTTAATTAACCTATAGTTACTATGGATGCATCCTGTGCGATTCTCTCCGGCGGATTAATTTTGTCAACGGTGGCAAGTGAGAACGAGGACTATGTAGCAGATTCGAATTTCGATGGAGTAGCCTGAGGATGAATGAAAAAGAAAATCAAAACTGAGTTTCAGTTTCGACAAGGAGCCGGTGCAGTGAAGGCTAACTAATGGGCCTTGGCAATGGGCTTTTCGCACTTCTCACACTACCCAAATCCAACCAAGTAATAAAACTTTCTTTTCTCTTTTTTTTTTTTTTAATTTTTTTAAAGGACTTTTTTTACAAATAACTTTTTTTAAACAATTTTTTTTTTTACAAAATATTTTTGTTTTAAAAAAGAAACTAAGTGTTAAATTTAATATACGTGAAAACTAACCGGACTTAGCATCCCGTCCTTTGGTCCGTAAGTTTTATGGTGTCATAAGTTCAACATGTTTTCACGTATATTAAATTTAACATTTTAAATTTTAAAGTTTTCACAAATAAAGTTTTAAGTAAATTGTTTTGGTTTTTAACTAAAAGTTTTTGATTTTACAAATGTTAAATTTAATATACGTGAAAACTAACCGGACTTAGCATCCCGTCCTTTGGTCCGTAAGTCTTGTGGTGTCATAAGTTCAACATGTTTTCACGCATATTAAATTTAACATTTGGTTAAGTTTAAAGTTTTCACAAATAAAGTTTTAAGTAAATTGTTTGGGTTTTTAACTAAAAGTTTTTGATTTTACAAAATGTTTTTGTTTTAAAGACAAACTAAATGTTAAATTTAATATACGTGAAAACTAACCGGACTTAGCATCCCGTCCTTTGGTCCGTAAGTCTTGTGGTGTTTATAAGTTCAACATGTTTTCACGTATATCTAACATTTGGTTAAATTTTAAAGTTTTCACAAATAAAAGTTTTAAGTAAATTGTTTTGGTTTTTAACTAAAAGTTTTTGATTTTACAAAATGTTTTTGTTTTAAAAACAAAACTAAGTGTTAAATTTATTATACGTGAAAACAAACCGGACTTAGCATCACGTCCTTTGGTCCGTAAGTCTTGTGATGTCATAAGTTCAACATGTTTTTACGTATATTAAATTTAACACTTGGTTAAGTTTTAACGTTATTCGCAAATAAAGTGTTAAATAAATTGTTTTGATTTTTAACTAAAAAATAATTTTGATTTTACAAAATGTTTTTGTTTTGAAAACAAAATTAAGTGTTAAATTTTAATATACGTGAAAATTAACCGGACTTAGCATCCCGTCCTTTGGTCCGTAAGTCTTGTGGTGTCATAAGTTCAACATGAAATCACGTATATTAAATTTAACACTTGGTTAAGTTTTAAGGTTTTTCGCAAATAAAGTTTTAAAAATAAAATGATTTTTAACTAAAAAATAATTTTGATTTTACAAAATGTTTTTGTTTTAAAAACAAAACTAAGAGTTAAATTTAATATACGTGAAAATTAACCGGACTTAGCATCCCGTCCTTTGGTCCGTAAGTCTTCTGGTGTCATAAGTTCAACATGTTTTCACGTATATTAAATTTAACACTTGGTTAAGTTTTAAGGTTTTTCGCAAATAAAGTTTTTGTTTTGAAAACCAAACTAAATGTTAAATTTAATATACGTGAAAACTAACCGGACTTAGCATCCCGTCCTTTGGTCCGTAAGTCTTGTGGTATCATAAGTTCAACATGTTTTCTTGTATATTAAATTTAAGTTCTAACGTTTTTCGCAAATAAAGTTTTAAATAAATTAATTTTTAGTTGATTTTACAAAAAAAATATTTTTCCCGTCAAAACAAATTTGTTATTAATTCAAAAGACCATTAAAAAATATTTTTGTTTTAAAAAAAACTAAGTGTTAAATATAATATATGTGATAATTAACCGGACTTAGCATCCCATCTTTTTGTCTGTAAGTCTTGTGGTGTCATAAGTTCAACATGTTTTCACGTATATTAAATTTTAACACTTTGTAAAGTTTTAAGATCTTTTTCAAATTATTTTTAAAAAAAAATTTTTAGTAAAAATTTTTGATTTTACAAAATGTTTTTGTTTTGAAAACAAAATTAAGTGTTAAATTTAATATACTTGAATACTAATCGGATTTAGCATCTAGTTTTTTGGTCCGTAAGTCTTGTGGTGTAACAAGTTCAATATGTTTTCATGTATACTAGGATCGGACCCGCGGTCCACCGCGGGAGAATATTGGTTTACATACGTTGAGTTTAATAGTGCGTGTTTTAAGTTGAGCGAATCGGGTAGTGTACTTATAAATATTCATACTAAAGAATTGTAGAGAAAATATTAAATGTTTATAATTAAACCGATCATATTAATTATGATTAAAAATAGAATTTTATGTTTTAGAATTCTAAAATTAGATGATTCATAGGAATTAGAGCAGTAAAAATAAGTCAAAAACCGTGGGTCGAGCCCAAATCATCTCACTATGGGGCATATTTGTGAAAATATATTAAACCCGTAAATAAACGGGCCACACGGATTGATTCGCAGTGGATCATTGGTTTTAATCGATTTTCGTCCGCGGGTTGGCGGATCAGCCCGCATGTTAGTATTTATTGATAAAAGTATAATTTATTCAACATTTGGTAATTTAAAAACTTTTAATAAATGAAATTATAATATTTATAAATATAATGAGATATAAAATTATTTCCTCTAATTTTTATTTATTTATTTATTTTAGTAGTATTTTAAATTTTCATTACTTTAAAATTATTTAAACAAAATCCACGGACAACTCCGCAAATCAGCATACATTCGCAGGACGGATTTGTGTTTCATATATGCTATATGCGGGTAGTGTTATATCAAAATATATTTTGCCTATCACAAAACGGGCTTAACGGGACGAATCAACTCGCTTTGACAGCTCTAGTGGGAATATTATTTAAAGTTTAGTCATACAACAAAATAGAGTTTGGACATAGGAATAATAGAATCTATATCCTATTTCTTAGATGAGAGACTGAAACTTTGAAAGGTGAAATATAACGATTAAAAATTAATTATTATTTTTCATGATTCGCAAAATTTAATAAATATTTATCATCTTGTTGAATAATTCTAAAAATCATATTCAAGAAATCTTTATAATTTTAAAATTAAACTTCTTTGGTAAGCTATCAGTATGAAAATACCATAATTTTGTTTAATTTAATTAAATTAAAATTAGTTACATAGATTTCATATCTATTTAATTTATACGACCAAAATAAAAAAATCTATTTAATTTATAAAATAGATGGGTTAGTTGTGATAAATTTTCTACAAATCTTTTGAAGCAAGTAAGATATCTTTCAATTAATGCTAATTGGCTAAAATAAGCAAAATTAATGACAAAACGTTGATCGTTATGGAATTAGTTCAAAAATATATGAACAAATATATTATACGTAATTAATGTATAGTATTGTTCGGAATATGCTTTTATAATTAGTTACCATAAATACAATCATATTTTATTTGATTTCAATAAATATTTTATTTTATTTCGATTTTTTATTATTAAATATTAATTAGAAATCATATTCCAAAAAAAATTCAAAGATCCGATTTCAGAATTTTGGGTCAATTTTCTGATTTTGACCCGACCCATTTGCATTTGTACTTCTCTTTTAATAGTATAGAGATTAAAATTTAACACTTGGTTAAGTTTAAAGGTTTTTCACAAATAAAGTTTTGGTTTTGGTTTTGGTTTTGGTTTTTAACTAATTTTTTTTTATTTTACAAATTGTTTTTGTATTAAAAACAGTGTTAAAAAGTTTATGAATCTAAGTGCAATCATCACACTTGCTAGTGTCTTCCAAGCAAATGAATTTTTTAATCTTGAAACAGAGTAAAGAAGAGAGAAATCGCTGGTAATCGCGAATCACCGATTAATTGATAACCGGTCCGAATTCGAAAATCCGAGTAAAAGCTTCATCGTGTACTGGGACTTTTGACTTTTGAATTTTTATTTGACCAACCCTTCGAAACGGATCAGTCATAATGGGCTTTTTATTTATTATTTATCCAACTTAGAGAGAGTTAACGCAACAGAGTTGGCATATCGCTTCCAATTTTTTTTTAATCTTCAAAACAAATTGAAATCTTGGACCAAAAACAATATCTAAATATTGAATACTTTTTTTTTTAATATTGGAAGTAAATAAAATATGGAAAACCACTGTTAAATTCTAAACATACACATTTTGACCTACAAGAGATACTATCCTTTACTATCAAAAGAGATAAATCTTTTATTGAATGAGAATATATTTGTTTTGTACAAATAGAAATCACACAAATATCGCTAGTGAGGAATTTAACCTATTCTGGTAATCAAAAAGAAAAATATTACATGCACGCATATATATTTTGTTTTTTTTTAATATGGATGTAGATTGATTGGTTATTTCCCTGCTTTGATAAATTCCAAATTGCAAGATTCTTTTGTGTTATTCTATTTTTTTGCTTTTTCTAGTGATAGAGACTGTCAAAAGTTTCCGATTCGACATGTTGTTTGTTTTTATTGATTTTTAACCCCCCCCCCCCCCCACCCCCCAATATATATTATAAGACCGCAAATATTATATACCGACATGTCAAAAGTTACTCGGTAATAAATATTATAATACACCGCAAATTATATATTATTGTAATACTGGTGGTCTTGTCTAACACTCTAGTGAAATTTTAAGTGTGTGACATATATAGATTATTAGATTCAAATTGTCTGAAAAAAAACTCTGCTTATATCAATGAGTTTGTTGAAAACCTGTCATTAATATAAATTTAACCCTATATGCTTTAGATTAATAATATAAAAGTTATTTAGAGCTAGAAACTATTTATGAGATCATTAGGCCATCTGCAGTGGTACAACTGCTGGGGTGATCTTGAGTAATAAAAAAATAGAAAAAATTCCAACAGTAGAGCATTTGAGCAAGATCTCATTTTGAGCTGGATCTGATCTTGAGCATTTCTTTTTATCTCTCTCTTACCTCTTCATATAATATCATTATATATATATAATATTATTATAATAACTTGATAAAAAAAAAAAAATATTATTATAATAACTTTAAGATCAGTTGGTCCATTGTAGATGGCCTTAGTCCAACAAAGCTTCATGGACCCTCTTTTTACGTCCGAACATTAATAATAACTAAAACACTTACAGTTGCGCCAATGAGGCTATGACAGACACTGGCTGCGGCTTACTAGAAACTATTTATGTTACGAGATCTAGCCAGCTATACTTGAATTCAAATATCTTAAACTAATATTACTATGTTAATTTTGATTGCATTTTTATAAGCTTAAGGCTCATTAGTATATCGTGAACAAATATAAAGCGAACGTCAAAAAGTAATAATAATATTAATAAATTTGTTCATTTGAAACTTGAAAGTGATCTAAGAGTGTTTTTTTTTTAGTGCAATTTTTTTTTTGTTAAAAGTACGTAATAACTATATATAACTGTATATATTCTCCACGATATTCTAAGCAGTTCAAATTGTAATATTGTTGCGCCTATGACACTATGCTGCGACTTACTAGTTACTACTACAATAAACACCTTTATATCGGAAATTCAGAATCAAATCTTCATATCTACGACTACAATTAACCCAAAAAAGCATGTTAATTCTCTTTATATATGCATTTTAATGTTGAAAATTACTTTAAGTGATATTCGCTATAAAAACTGTACATGTACAAAAAGCTATGTAGAATATTTTTCAAAACAGTGTTTCTAATTTGACTTAATTTTTTACATGTAGTTTTATATGAAGCTGGGGTTACTCATATATAATAACTAATTAGTGATTTTTAAAAATCATTCTTAGCTGAAGGTAAATATTCCTGAAAATATAAGAAAAATGCTCTACTTAAAACTACTATATTTCACCATTTATAAAAAAAATTTAGCTACACATTTTATTTTATTTGTTTCATCAAGTCAAACTTCACATAGTGGCAAAGAAATAGTTAATGTGACCCATAAACATCTGAACAAGTGTAGACTTCCATATATTCTCTCGTAATATAAATAATTTTTGGAATGATTACAGAACCTTATTGAGTTTTGACCTTCTTCTTTTTTTCGTCATTTGAGATTTGACCTATCAAATAAAGCGATTTGGAACGATTTAAAATTCTGTGATTAAGATTATATGGAGCATCGAATCTATTTATCATTCAAGCTAATAAAAGTGGGTTAGGTCATCGAATATATATATACGCTCATTGAGGTAATATTTTATGCGTAAACTAAAACTGATTTTATTTTATGGAAATTTATGTATAACCCATATGAAAGACATTAATTATTCATATATTATTAATTATTTCAAAAAAAAAAAAGAAAGAAAGACATTCATATACAGTATTCTTCAGTACTTTTCATTTTTCTCTCATTCATTATTAATAGTTTTTGATAACATTCGTCGTTAAGAGTTAATAGAAATTTTAACCTTGTGACCCTGTCATATCTTTTTGAAAATCATGAATGTTGCGAGTCTTGTGACTTATGAGGACAACTGTTGTTTTAAGCTTATTTTGCGTTTGTATGGTGCAGGTGCACGTTTATTTAAATGATTGGATAAAAATAAGTATGGTCTCTTAACTTTTAAGGGAATACATGCACACAAAATCTATAATAAACAGGTCTTTTGATCGGCAAACTAAAACCAAATCAACATAGATTATTCGATATATCTAAGATAATATTCCCACATAAATTGAGCAGATCAATTGGCATTAATCTATGCAAAAGTTTAGCCAACTTTCTAAAGTACAAGGATGCTGTGTACCTAGCTACGACGGTCCACTGAGGTACCATATGAAATGAATAAAAATTAAAGTTATTTACCCTTTGAAAGGCATGGTTTATGGTTTAAATAGTTTAATATCTATCTAATCATATGATTATGTAATCATATCAACAATGGATTAAGGAATCCGGGCAATTTGCTTGTAGATTTAGTCACCTTTTTGCAAAAACGGATCGTTATACATATTTGTTAACTATATAGCTCACCCACCAACCCCAATTGAATTACAATATTTGCTTCTTCTGCATCGTTTATGCTATCTCGTGTGTCAATCGATTATGAGTTATGATATCTATCTATGATTAATACTTTTTAAAAGTCCTAGATATATTAGTGGTAGTTTTGTAATCTACATTAACCTATTTGTGATTATTGAATATGGTGGCACACTTGCAAATAACTTTTTAAACACAAAAACATTTAACAACATGTTACAATAATTTTGCCCCTTCTAATAGGGCAACGAACACACATTTATCATGTAACGTTAAGTTCTACATATATAGATGTGTCCCCCTAATAAATTGACTTATCATACTCATCAAATGACAAATTTCAGACAAATTAATGGTCCTAATTGCAATAATGTTCTCTCGTTTTTAGATAATGACAAAACATTCGCTTAAAATTTAATTTTGTCCATATATTTCCATTCTAGTTGATGGTAATTAATTATATGGAATTACCAAAACTGGCTCGTGGATTTTATCTAAAAGAATGTTCTCACAATTTTTTTTCTAATTAATTGTTATTAGGTGGGAAGTTGCAATCTGAATTTGTATTTGTGTTGACACAATTCAGCTCGTTCTTAGTCTTCGGTCCTCACCTTATTGGTACATAATACTCTCTTTTATTTGACTAGTTTTCTTTACTCCGTCTAAAATACTATATCTATTTTGTTTGAACTTGGATAAGAGGATATAGGAAGATACTTTTTGAAGGCGACTGCGAGATATTTATCAAAGCGTTAAATGATTTTTCTCAACATCATGAAATCACAAATCTGTTCCATAACATTGATTTTTGGACTTCAAAGTTTTTCTCTGTTAATTTTGCTTTCATAAGACGTCAATGTAACAGCGTTACCTATTTCTTAGCATCTTATGGTTGTAATAATGTAATGTTTTATTCAAGTTCGAATAATCAGCCTCTGGGGCTCAAAAAACTTCTTTGTAAAGATTCAATTACATGAATGAAATCTCTGTTGCAGCAAAAAAAAAAAAATTGTTTGAAATAACTTTATAAATCTTTAAACCTTCACTTGGCAATTAAATTTGGATGATATCATTTGTATAATCACAAATTATTCAACATTTTTTTCGGTAGTGTCATCTTTGAATACAGAAAAAAAAAAGTGGTAATAGCTAATGGCTTAGTGAGTAAATTTTAAGCTGGAAAAGGTAAAAATGAATATAAATTAAGTAAATGACTATTCAATTTCATTTTAGAAAAAGAATTGTTATTTGGACATCCAGTTTTTTTTTTTTTAGTAGTTATTTGTCTATTTTTATAAAAGTTCATAGTCTTAGTTTAATTACTCATAGAAAAATATAAATGTTGATCTTTTTTTTTTCAAGACAAAAAAAGATGAGCATAAAGTTTAGTGAATTAATTACGGATTTTGCTCTATTATATTTATGGATTTTGCCCTTTTTGAATTGTTTATGGATTTTGCCCTTTTTTAGGCTCCAAAAATATGATTTAACATGCGTTTCATTCGTTATGTTCGGGTTTAGTCGGTTCCATTTGTTCTTAGGGTTTTTTTGGTATAATGTACATATTTTTGCAAAAAAATCATAAATACGTACATTTTTAAGTGTTAAAAAGGAGCAAAATCCATAAATAATTCAAAAAGGGGCAAAATTCATAAATGCCATTATAAAAAGGGCAAAATCCGTAATAATCCCAAAGTTTAGTAGATGTTAATTTATTTATTTTTCTTTTTTTCTTCCGCCTTCTGTAGATATTAATTAGATCAACGGTTATGCATCTCTCACACTACGATTAGCAAAATGTGACCGTTGATAAAAGGCACTGACAGTTAGCAACGAACCAATTTGGGGGGACCAGGTGGGGATACGAGTCATGTGAGTAGTCTGATTTATGAATAGACAAATATACCCTTCCTCGAATCGTCATGCGGTCGAACCATTTCTTAGATAGATTTAGGGTATTTTGGTAATAGACACTCGAAGAACACACGCCAAGTGTGCATACAGTGCCGGCTCAAATAGGGGATGAGCAATGCGACGGTCAGGGGTCTAATCCCGTGTTCCAATAATTAAGAAGCTCATTTTAATTTTTTTTATAAAAGTATTAAAATTTTAAATTACAACATAAAAATAAAATTTAGAAGGACCCATAAATTTTTTTATTATTGTTTTTAGTTTTAATAATTAACTTTTTAATAAAAATATCATACAATTTTTTTATATAACAAAAAGAACAAAAAAAAAAAAAATCTAAGGGCCTAAAATTTTTTTACCCTACGACCTATAATACTGTTGAGCCGGCACTGCGTGCATACTGGCAAGAACCTCGACGATCAAGCCTGTGGGACGTTATGCTTGAATCAAAAACGAGATCCAACGGCTGCAAATCAGGAGGTGCAGTGTTGTACAGTGTACCACGCCACACCATATCTCAACCGACAAATGAAGATCCACATAATCTATTTGTGACCGAAAGCGAAGAATGTCTTCACACACGTTTGTGCCTCAAGCCCTTACCTAAAGGTCAATACATTGTTCTTTATAATTAACATATGTATATATTTATTTGTTAATTTCTATATTAACCATTTTTTTCGTTTGGCGCCTGTTATGCATTTTAAATCGCCAAAAGAATTATTATATACAAGTAAATGGCATAGTTGATTCATTTTTATTTATTTACAAGTTTAAGCTATGAATTTGTATACTAACATTAAGAAGGTTCAATCACAAAACTATTTAATTTGGAATATTTTTCTGGATATAAGAATATACGAATTTTTTTTTTTTGCACTTCATTAAATGTCGCTATCTACTCGTTTTTGAATTATAATCGATGAGGCCAATGCTATTAATTCGAACTTCAGCATAATTAGCGGATATGGTCTGATGTCTGTCTATTTAGGAAATACGACAAACTTGACGAAAAATGACAATTGAGTTTAATATATGTACTGTTTCATTATGGTCTCATAACTATTTTAGGATGTCGGAAATGTGACAATGCATTGGACCATTGGTAATTGATCTGTATATATTAAGTACGCCTATATATACATTAATCAGCGGACCATTGTCCTAGATAAAGCCTATGCAAAATTTAGAGCATATGGTTTTTAAAAATGTTATTGATCTGTTTCGGATGATTAGAGAATACACATTGGTCGTTTAAAATTATATTAATCTGTAGTTTACATAATAATAGATGTGGACAAGCCATTGTTCAAATCCTTGATTGCCCCCACGTATTCGATGATAAAATAGGTCGAAAGGGTCAACAGGTTAGTTAACATAAAAACTAATTTAACTCTTGGAATAGTATACTGTTTATAGCTTAATTCAAACTAAGTATAGAACGCTTATAATAAGACAGTTGATATTATATTAAAGAGAAAATTAAATAAATTGTTGATTTAGTTTACATTCAATTTGAACATGTATTAACCAAAATTTTGAATTCTCTGTATATTAGTATAACGTCATATTCTTAGTATCTTCAGAAAATCCCTTGATTCAGTTGACTCGATGATAAATATGTCGATTATCGAGCAGTCACACAAAGCATATTATAAAATAAAAATTAAATTAAAAGAGCTCCTTGAATATGACGTCATCCGAAGGATCATAATTCATAAATCACACAGAAGCGTAAGAGCAACCACAATGGTGGTCCTAAGAAGGTTTCTTAAGATTATAATATTAAAAAGAAATACAAAAAGAAGAGAGAGAACTAGAGATGTTTCTTATTTAAGGTACATTGTTAGTTATTTTAGAAACTCTTCTTCCATTTGTCCATCTTTTAGTGGTTCATTTTTTTTAATATTAAAAAATTAATATTTAATTTATAAGAAACTCAATAACTTGTTTCAACCATTGTGGTTGCTCTAAGACCATCATTATTGGGAGGTCCTTAGCTTAGTTCTTAGCTCATGAGTGATTAAAATTAAATGTTGAAATGTTGATTTTACTAAGGAATGGTTCTTAGTTAAGAGCAAAAAATTGGCTTAAGAGCAAAAAATTGGCTTAAGAACCAAAACTAAGGCCTCTCCAATAATGTTGCTCTAAGTGTCACGCATCCTAAGAGCATCAGCAGTGGTAGTTTAGTAGAGACTCATAGAGTTTCTCAAAAAATATTATTTTAATATTTTTAATATAATTTAATTATTGTTTTAAATTTAAAACTAAAAAGAAAAAACAAAGCCAATCAAAATTTGCCATGTGTGAAAAGAGTCTCTATAGAGGTTCTCATATGTTCTCATTTGAGAATCGATTCTCGCGTTTCACTCCTCATTTTCATTACTTTTTTTTTAATATTGTTGAGAGACTTGATGATAGAGTTCCACTGTAGATGCTCTAACATAACCTGCCATTCAGTTCACCTCCCTCGCGCGCATGCCGGCGCTAAACCGTTAGATCTCATTTTGCCAACGACACAACTCAACGGTTATAATTTGTCTTATAAATTATACATTTACACTTTTTTTTTTTAATACATTTACACTTTGTTGTTACTTTTTTTGGATGACATATTGTTGATATAGTTTAATAGATAATTAACATTAACAAATGAAAGATAACTACACTTCTTATTACGAGTGAAAGTTTAAATATACATAAAAACGTTACGATCATGGACTGTATTTAACAAAGATATTATACTTAAATGTCCAACACACTTACTGTTAGTAAATAAAATATATAGTGCAAGCCTGCAACCGTGCAACATACAGATTATATCATTTCTTTTTTCTTATAAAATAATCATCAAGTATCAAATATTAGAACTTGATGTCGTATGCTGTGATCGAATATATATTTAACTGCACCGAGACTTACGTATTTAGATATGCACTGCAAGTAAAAGTAAACGTTGTTTTTAACAGTACTCTCAGTTGGAATTAATTCCATAACAAAGCTATGACGTTAAATCTATAAAAAACAGGACATTTTTTACAAAGATATACGAATATAGATATATAATTTACCAGTTAAGTCAGCTAACTACGATTACAATTAACAAATTCAATGAATTCACAAGAGTGGGTCTATCAAGTTTCATCAGTTTTATTTAACGGTCACGAGAAGTTAAGTTAATTGCTATATGCATTACTGCCATTGCATTTAAACCTCTTGATATTACGTTCTTAACTTTGTAACTGATTTTGTCAATAAATTTTTCGAAATGAAAATTCAATTGACATTCAAATCCATCTCATGGTAGGAAAAAACAATCCCGGAGCTTACGTTTTGTTTTTTAAAAAGATACTATGTTTTATAAGTGGTCTGAAATCTTAATCACTTTTATATTTGATGTGTATTTGTCTAATAGATTGGTGAATAAAGAGCCTATTAATTCATTGCATTTAATCAACTTTTTTTCTTGTGGCTGCAAGGTCTTGCTTTTTTAAAAAATATCCTGAAATAAATCTGGTTTATGTTGAATCAAGTAAAATAATTATCAGTGCCCGCATAATAATACAATATTTTCGGTAAACTTAAAATAAATGAAGGTTTTGATACGTTATCCTCAATATATTGCATACATGTTTTTTCTTTTTCTTTTATTTTAGCATTTATGTAGCTAATATGAAAAAATTCAAATGGAAAAAGTACAAGTTCAAATTTTATGTTTTATATATTTTCAAGTAAGCAAGCAAACGCAAACTTGCCCAAAGATATCAAGTAAAAAGTACAATATGAAAGGGTAAAAAGAATGAAGTACACACAAGAGGGGCTTCTATTATTTAACATAAAAGACATCATTCCCTTTCAAATATATAAAAAAAAAACTATTAAATGAAATAAACTATAGTTTTTGAATTAATTAAAAAAACTAACAAGAGGGGCTTCTAATGTTTTTTCTATATAAATACCTGAAGGCAGCCTTTCGTCTTAAACCCCACAGCAAAAAGCCACTCTCCTTTCTCTCTCTCTCTCTTTTGCTCCTCTGCTTCCATGGCCACCAAGCTCGACACCAGTAGCTTACTTTTGGCCATCTTCTCCAAATGTAGCCTCCTTACTCAAACCAATCTTGCTCTCTCTCTCCTCGTAGCCTCCCTTGCTTCTCTCGCTCTTTCTCTCTTCTTCTGGTCTCATCCCGGAGGACCCGCATGGGGAAAGTACTTCCTCCATCGCCGCCGTCAAACCACCGTGATACCTGGACCAAGAGGCTTACCTTTTGTCGGAAGCATGTCTCTCATGTCAAGTGCTCTGGCTCACCGTTGCATAGCCGCAACCGCAGAAAAATTTGGAGCCAAACGTTTAATGGCGTTTAGCTTAGGAGAAACTCGCGTGATCGTCACGTGCAATCCTGATGTAGCTAAAGAGATTCTAAACAGTCCGGTTTTTGCTGACCGACCGGTTAAGGAATCAGCTTATTCTCTTATGTTTAACCGAGCTATCGGTTTCGCACCTTACGGCGTTTACTGGCGAACCTTGAGAAGAATCGCGTCTAATCATCTTTTTAGTCCGAAACAGATTAAACGTTCCGAAACGCAGAGACGTGAGATCGCCAATCAGATCGTCAAGTGTCTTGCAAAACAGAGTAACACCAAAGGTCTCTGTTTTGCACGTGACTTGATCAAAACGGCATCGCTTAATAACATGATGTGCTCTGTTTTTGGAAAAGAATATGAGCTTGAGAACGAGCATGAAGAAGTGAGTGAGCTACGTGGATTGGTGGAAGAAGGTTATGATTTACTCGGAACACTTAATTGGACCGATCATCTCCCATGGCTCTCGGAGTTTGATCCTCAGAGAATCCGGTCTAGATGCTCCAATCTCGTACCGAAAGTAAACCGGTTTGTGAACCGGATTATCTCTGACCACCGTGATCAAACTCGTGACTCACCGAGTGACTTTGTTGACGTATTGCTCTCTCTTGATGGTCCTGATAAATTATCCGACCCTGATATCGTCGCTGTTCTCTGGGTATGTACACGTGGCTTTTATTTTTATCTTTTTACTAGAGAAGAAAAAGACAAATAAACATATTGATTATCTAGTCTATGCGTTTAATTAAATTTTTGGATAATTAAATATGCCATTTTAAATAACTAAAAAAGTACTCGCAATTTTGGTTTTAATAACAGGAAATGATATTCAGAGGAACTGACACGGTGGCTGTTTTGATCGAGTGGATTCTTGCTAGGATGGTCCTACATCCAGATATTCAATCGACGGTTCACAATGAGCTTGATCAAATCGTGGGAAGATCAAGAGCCGTCGAAGAATCTGACGTGGCGTCTCTAGAGTATCTAACGGCTGTTGTGAAAGAAGTCTTGAGGCTTCACCCGCCAGGCCCACTACTCTCATGGGCCCGTTTAGCAATCACAGATACGATCATCGACGGTTGTCGTGTTCCGGCGGGGACCACCGCAATGGTGAACATGTGGGCTATATCACACGACCCACACGTGTGGGAGAATCCGTTGGAGTTTAAACCCGAACGTTTTGTAGCCAAGGAAGGTGAGGTTGAGTTCTCGGTTCTTGGGTCGGATTTGAGGCTTGCACCGTTCGGGTCCGGTCGTCGGGTTTGCCCCGGGAAGAATCTTGGTTTGACCACCGTCACGTTTTGGACTGCGACGCTTTTGCATGAGTTTGAATGGCTAACACCGTCCGATGAGAAGACCGTTGACTTGTCCGAGAAATTGAGGCTCTCGTGTGAGATGGCTAATCCTCTTGCTGCTAAATTACGCCCCAGGCGTAGTTTTAGCGTATACACAGATACTGTGGTAAACTAAAGGGAAGGAAAATTAGTGTGAATTGAAGCAAAAGATAAAAATAAAGAACAAACAAAGTAAAGGTAACAAATCAAATAAGAATCATACAAAAAAAAGAAAAAAAAAATGGTTATGAAGCTTGTATATTAAACTAACATCTGATACGTTTGGTGGTGTGTTGTATATATGATGAAAACATTAATGTCACAAAGAAAAGTTTATAGTACTATGTGGTTTTTCTATATCTTTTTTCTCGCTTTCTTTTTGCATTCTGATTTTTATCTAATTTTCAAAACTTGATTTCCTCGTTTTTTAGTATGTTATGAAAACTTAATTAATATCGTGGACTATCAACTCTGAAATGATGGGAAACGATCTTTGCTTGAACACGAACAAAGTCCCGATTACAAGCAATTATAATATATCATTTTTCATCCACTGATCAGCAAATATCATAATCAAGGAAAAATGTAATTATTTCAATTCATTTTTACTTTGACAAGAAAAACTACAAGTATAAATGGTGAGTACATTAGGCTTAACCAATTCATCATAAATTCATAATGAAGTATTTTTGGGTAAGACATTCAAATGCCATGTAACCTTAAAATTTCAAATTATCGACCGCCAATCCTAGCGAACAGAAATATTTGTGTAAAAGTTCCTGAATAAATCGGAAGGAGTTGTTTCCACATTTTTTGCCCCAGCCAAAACATATAAAAGTTTCGTCTTTATAAAAGTTGCAGATTCGACATACCCTGCCCCATGACCACTATTTACTACTAGTCAATTACTAAATTTGGAAAAAAAAAATTAATAATGTAATATGATTGTTTAATAAGAGAATTTGACTGAAAATATTTTCAAACTTCAAATTGTGTGGTCGAACATAAAAAATCATTATAATAAGAGTTCTTGAATTTATATTTATGCAAACGAAAGATTGTGACACATGCATTATTAAAGGATGGTGGTATTTTTGTTCCAGTGAGGAGCCTGCACATAAGCATTAGGAAAGAACAAAATATGACAAGATTTGAATTAATGGTCTAATCATATATACAATTGAGAGATCTTAAAAGTGGATAAGTATCTTATAAAGAACTTTTTTTAATCGTGGAAGCATCTTCACTGGTTGCTGAGAGGTTTTCATAATGACGTCATGTATGTTTCTCAATAAAAGTGGTTGTAAAAAAATATATAATGCCCATTTAAATATTCCAAAGCATAAACTAATCTTGCATTAAAAAAAAAAAAAAACTAATCTTGCATGACAATTTTGTTTCCGAATTGTTTAGTCCTGTACAAAATAAATGATTTTATTTATATTTCGTATAAACTGAAAGTGGGCTTAATCAAGAGTTGATAAATAGCTTAGGCCCATCAACGTAAAAACGATCATATTTATTATACATGGGCCAGAGCTGACATAGTTTAGATCAAACTTAATAGCCTAAACATGAATTTTGGCTTTCACAAATTCGACCACACAATCTTTTATAAATAATACCCTCGCTTTTATCATAGTTTTGCGGCGAACTATTTATAGTTAGATTTCTTATACAAATAGAAAAGAGAGATCAAAATGTAGATCTTATTTTATACGAAAAGAATGAATTTTTCAACATGCTTAATCAAATCACCAGACTTCTTGTACATGAAAAACATTACAAAACTCTGAAACAGTGTGAAAAAGTATTAGTGATCATTTTCCACCATTATTCCAATATTAACTCTAATTGCATGATTTCTTACAATTTCATCATTTACAAACCTCAAAAAAAAGTTGCAGAATATTTGCACATATAGAGTCAAACTCATAATAAGACATCCCAATAGTAATATTATCTATGGCCATTTAGTGAACTCAAAGACCTTAAGGACGATATCAAGACCTGTTGGGATTTGCCAAATGAAAAGAAGAACATTTACTGCATTCAACGCTATGTGTAGACTCCTCGCCGTCTCGTTCCCTTTCTGCATCGCTGGCACTAATGCAGCCGCCGCCGCCCACAACACCGTTATTCCTGCCACCACCACCACCAACACAAAATGTGAACAGTTTTCTACACATCCCAAACAAATGGCAACGACATTTTTTCTAATGATAGTTTAAGACTTTTTCTAATAGTTATGATGAATGGTAACAAAAATCCAAAATTAGTATAAAACTTAAACCACATCAAACGAAACTAAAAGCGGACTGAGCAACCCTTCTATGCATATTCGAAGATTACACAATTATGTTCAGTGCTATCAATGAGAACCTAAAATCAAGAAAATGAAAAATAAGACGAGAGAGATTGGTTTATGGTACCTGCACCGGCGTAAAGATGAGGACCGGGGAAGAGTTTACCGGTACGAAGATAAGTGTTAACACCACCAAAGACAGCTTCCAAAACACCAAAACCTAACAAAACAGAGCCAGCGTCAAAGTGTTTGTCTCTGTAAGACCCTTTGACCAACTCTTTCCTCTCTTCTGTCAGCCGTTGGATCTGAAGCTCAGTGGTAGAAGGAGGCGACGAAGAATCAACGGCAGTGGATCCATCAGGAGAAACAGGAGTTGGTTTAAGCTGTTTCTTGAGCTCACTGATCTCATTCTGTATCGTACGGACACGTCTCCATTGCCAACCTAAGTAACCAGCCCAAAGTGTGTATGCGAATAAACCTCCCATCACAATTGGGTGTATCAACGCAAATGATCTTCCTTCCAATATCCCAAATTCTCCTCCAACTGCTGCTGCATCCTTTTAAAAATTGCAAAAAACAAGAATCTTGATTGATGAAACTTTTCACCATTCTCGATTATATTTGTAGAATGTGAAACTATTGGGGAAAGATTGAAACTTTTTGATTACCTGTGGGTCGAGGAAGAAAGGCAATGCGATGACTGCGAGAGGGAGAGAGGATGATTTAAGGAGTTGGAGAGCGTTGGGAGTGGAGGGTATATCTGGGATTTTGCATGGTTGTGATTTGGTGATTGGTTTGAGAGAGTTTAGGGTTTTAGGGTGATGTGTGCGAGGAAGAAGATGGAGTGTGGAGAGACAATGAAGTGTGGTCGCCATACTCTCTCTCTCTCGGGTCTTGGAACAGAGATTGTGGCAAAAGAGTGAAGAAACAAGAGAGACATCCTTAACCGCAAAAATTATCGAACCAAAACAGATAAGAGATCTCCGTTGGAGCTCCACGTGTCAGAAAACTGGACACTTACATAAAATTTAATTCTTTTCTTCTTCACCGACAGAAAACTAATCGGTAAATAAACATGTATAATGTCACTTGATTAATAAATAATCAAAATTGTTTACTTTGATTTAGTTTTTACAAAAAAAAAGTACTTATGTTTGAATTTGATAGAGCCTCGCATGAATGATGATACAAAAAAAACAAGAGTGAATATTGAGCAACATGTAACAACCAAAAACTATACCAATTGAATGGGATTGTTAGCTAATTTTTTTTTTTTAAAAAAAAAAAAAAACTCCAACGAGTTCTCATAGTCATGGACTCATGGGGTAACTCTTAGTGTGGGCCTATTTGTGAAGAAAGCCCATTATAAGCCTTGAATTTCCGAGTTTGCCCCTGATGGCATGCCGGGGTTTTTAAGTCAACCAGGCTCTTCTTTTCGTTCTTCGCCGAGCGTCGTCGTCGTCCTCTAGGGTTTGTTTATCGTTTCTTCTCCGATCGTTTAAGGTAAATTTTCTCCGATACTTGTACTTGCTCATGTAGATATACCTTCTCTTATCCTCTACATGTTTCTAATTTCGTGTTATTGGATCGTTAGGACTTGCAAATTAGGATAAAGATGAGGCCAGTGTTCGTCGGCAATTTCGAGTATGAAACGCGCCAGTCGGATTTGGAACGATTGTTCGACAAGTATGGGAGAGTCGAGCGAGTGGACATGAAATCTGGTAAAGTGTCTTCTAATTTCTACACCAGTGACCGATATCTTTAGATATTTGGAAGAAAATTTTGTTGTTTGATCATCTCGAGTTCGTCTTGTGGTTGGTTAATCATCTTTGCTTAGGTTTAGTTTCCGTTTGAACTCGGATTCTGGATGTTTAGAACTAGTTCCAGTGTCATACATGATTTGAAGGTTTATGCAGTAGAGAATGGTTGTATTGAGTGTTTATTTGGTCGCAGGAACTTTTCTTCAAAGGAACAAGAATTGCCATCTTCTTCTTCTTCCTGCAAAAAACATTTCTACATTTTCATGCCTGCCTTTATCATCTTGTGCCTACCAATCTTCGCTGATTCTAGAGAAACTTTGGAATTTGTCTATCTATACCAATCAGTCGATGGTTCAGATGGAAGTCTGTTGAATCCATCATTGCCATGCCTTGCCTTCCATATCTGAACTCCTCCACTCAGAATCTTGAAGCATTCCTTGCAAATCACTCAGAATTGTTTTTATAAAATTGGTGTTTTTAAAACAAAATCCTGATTTCCTGTGTTATGCTACAAATCTTGATTTTCTACTACATCATGGAATGCCTCTACATCTCATGTTCACCAGCCTTCACATATATGCAGGTGTATATCTATTTAGTTATTTTCTAGGGTAAACGGGATATGCTCTATTCGCTGATCTACAGCTATGCAGGGTTAATGGACTGGAGGATTGTCACTCTTTATGTGCGTTTTGTAATCCTTGTGCTTTTGTTGTTGTTGCAGGATATGCTTTTGTGTACTTTGAGGATGAACGTGATGCTGAAGATGCGATTCGCAAGCTTGACAATTTCCCTTTTGGATATGAGAAACGCAGATTATCAGTTGAATGGGCAAAGGTATTCTTTTTTTTTTCTGGTTTTTATTGAAGCTGCCTCATATTTAAGAAAACTTCTAAAGTTTCTTCCTGTTTTCAGGGTGAACGTGGCAGGCCTCGTGGTGATGCGAAAGCCACTTCAAATCTGAAGCCTACAAAGACACTGTTTGTCATTAACTTTGACCCCATTAGAACAAAAGAGCACGACATTGAAAAGCACTTTGAGCCCTATGGTAAGGTCATCAACGTGCGTATCAGACGCAACTTCTCATTTGTTCAGTTTGAAACACAAGAAGATGCCACAAAAGCCCTTGAAGCTACTCAAAGAAGGTAAAAAACAACACTTCTTCTAGTTACTTTTTCCGCTAAACATTTTATATATTTGCCTAACTAAACTCCCCTCTTTGTTTTCTCAGCAAAATATTGGATAGGGTTGTTTCTGTGGAGTATGCCTTGAAGGATGACGATGAAAGAGATGATCGATATGGTGGTCGTAGCCCGAGAAGATCTCTTAGTCCTGTGTACCGTAGGCGTCCAAGTCCAGATTATGGTAGGCGTCCAAGCCCTGATTATGGTAGACGTCCAAGTCCAGATAATGGTCGTGCACGAAGCCCAGAATACGACAGATACAAAGGTCCAGCAGCTTATGAAAGACGCAGGAGTCCAGATTATGGACGAAGGAGTTCTGATTATGGTAGACAAAGGAGTCCTGGTTATGACCGATACAGAAGGTAAAATAACAATTGCTTGCTTTGGCTTCTTACTGTTCTCACTCAACTCTCATTGATGTGGACGTATTATTTAATCATTCCTTATCATAATCCAAAATGTTAATAAAAACATATCTTGATATAACGTGGCCGTATAGAAAACCTTTTAAGATGAAGGAAGGAGTAATGTAAGAATTGGTATAATGTTTTTGATTGAACAGTCGTTCTCCAGTCCCAAGAGGAAGACCTTGAAGAAGATTGAACAATGCAGAACACAGGAGTTATGTTGTGTTTTGAGTTAGAAGATGCTTTTTGATGTTTTGAAAGCCTTTGTTAACTTTGGGATCTTATGCTGTGTGACTTTATAGTTTTTAGAATTGGAAGACTTTTATCTCAAAATTAGTAGAAACTTCATAATGGCGCTTTTTTGTTACGATATGTTATTATTACTTGGTTCATGTACCCTTTTGATTCGTCATAATTATTCTAAATCCCATATAATTAACAGTGACACAAGTTTGCCAGAAAAGAAATCAATTTTGATGCAACTTTTTTCCAATAAGGGCAACGATAACTTCTTGTTTTACTTTTTTTGTCTTTTCGCCACTTGTTTTACATATATCCCTACTATAAGTGAATTGTCACTTTGTTTGAACAAATTACTTTGAAGGCAACGCTGCCCATCAGGTGGGATAATTGGGCCGATTATATGCCCAAAAACTTTAGTTTTTGTGAAACTTGTGATCTAAAAGAGAAAAAAAATTGTATAAGGTTAAAAAGACAATTGAGAATGGTGGAATTCCTTTTTATAACTTTTCTGTTACTGTTAGTATACTGAATTTAACTAATTAAAAATTTTATGAGACATGTCGTTTTATTCCTTCGATTTCTTTGGCCTGAAGATAACAGCTTTCTATAATATTTTAATAAAAATATAGTTGACTCCATTGATCCGTTGCATTATGTTTTCTTAATTATTTTGAATAAAGCGACCATGCGCGCAGATAAATCTAGATTTCTTATAGACTAGGAGAATATCGCGTTTGATTTTATCTTGGATTTTTAAATCTTAACAAGAGTATAGTCAGTAATTAATTAAAATAATCAAAACAACACAAACCCAATGAAAATTCATGTTTGGTTGGCGGGCACTATAAAGTGGGCATCTACTTCCGCATTTCAAGCCAGCTACTAATCATCATGTGTTCATACACAGTTTTTACATTATTACATTTAAACATATACATACGTCAGATAGTTTAAGACCTAAATATGTAGTGTAATGTTTCTTTTTTCTTTTTTGGGTCACAGAGTAATGCTTTTTTTTTTAGTGTGGATAATGTGTCAGTATATATATATATATATATTATATTTTATATTGTTGATAAAAATAAAATTTACATTAACTGTGTTATACTCCCTCCGTTTCAGTTTAGTTGTCGTTTTAGGATTTAAATTTTGTTTCATAATAGTTGTCGTTTTAGGTTTTCAATGCAAATGTTTGGTGAAAATTTCAGTATTATCCCTACTGTTTTAATGTTTTGGCCAATGAATTTTTTTATAAAATCTATTAATAAAGGGTAAAACAGAAAATTTAATGTTTTTCTTAATTTGTGTGAAAAAACCTTAAACGACAACTAAAACGAAACGGAGGGAGTATACACTATGACTCAATTGCAAGATTAACTTTTTCCGACTAATTGGAAGATTAATTAGCGGATTAGGTGGATGAACTGTGAAGGTACGGTATTTGTATTAAAAAAAGGGAAAAAACAAATGTCGAGTGGAATGTGACATTGCGGTAAATCTGGTAATAACGAGAATTCAAGGAAACCGTGCCGTCGTCTCCGAATCTTAGTGGGTGTTTGCTTTATGAGAATTTAGTTACTATATTATTTACAAACGATGATGATTACTTTATATGACCAAATTTACAGATCTACATAATACTACAAAATCTACAATTCTTAACGTGATTAATGTCACAAACGGCTTCTAGTTGGGGTAGGTTAAGTTAGACCTAAAATACTTTAATTTTACTATTAATTCCTTGCTTAAGGTATACAGCGACACATAATAACGAATATCTATTTACTTGAAAAAGATGAATATTTTATTTGAAAAAATGGAGGGAATATTATTATGAAAATGTAGTACTTAATTTACATGAAAGAAGATAAACATTGCTACGTTCACGCACGGGCTCAAAAGTCAAAAAGCTGAGGAGCTCTATAAGTATATATTTTATATTAGTGTCCCCAAAATGCGATGCTTTGGGATTTGATAATCATGACTATTCGTGGATAATGATTCCGATCATCTTTATTTTTATCAGCAATTATATGAACTAAAAAGAATACATATTATGAAATCTATAAGTTTTGGGACGTAAATGGTTAAAAAAAAAAATAGAAAATACAGAGAGTGACTGAGTAGGAGTTCTCATTTGAGATACACATGAGAGACTTTCAAAACATTTGTCTTGTTTTTAATGGTTTAGTTTTCTTATACAAATTAAGATTTAATTATATAAAACCTCAAAGGGTATCTCATGAATGGAGGTGTTCTGAGACTCTCTCTCAGTAAGTAATACATTGTCACTCATGTACAACGGTAAGTGACTGCATTGGAGAGTAAATATATAACATGTTAAGATTGAAATTCTCAACACAAACAATGTATTCAAGCTTAGGGTTAACACAATTTAAATAGCATATCAATCGGATTATGATTAGATATTAAGATGAATAAATTACAGAAATACCTCTAAAATAGAAGAAATGATGAATACAGATCTCACTGATTACACACGAAGCCCTCGTATTCACTTATTCTTCTACCCTCACACCCCTTAACACTCCTCATGAACATAGACTCTATTTGATACTAATAAATATGAATGACCATGAAACCCAATTATGAAATATATATTTTGAAAAGACTGATTAAAAAGGAAAAAAAAAAACCAGAAAGAAGGAATAAAAAGACAATCTGTAAACTAAGTTCTGACAACTTTAAGTAAAGTTCCCCATGTGAGAAAAAACAAAAGATCATCAAAGTAAAAACTCTACTAAAATAGGAGAAAAAAGAGAAAAAGAGAAGAAAGATAATAAGTTCATGAGCTCTTTTTAACCTTTTTCACCACGAAGATCCTCCTGTATTACTGAACATCCCACTCCAGTATGTATTATTACCATGACTCTTCTCTTGGGTTGTGCTTGAAAGCTCTTTCATGTCTGAAAAAGGGAACAAAACCCTACTTGCTCCGTTCATGTCATCATTGTTATCTTGAGCTCTTTGGTTACTGTTGATGGTGTTATGTCCAATCCCTTGATGATGATCAATGGAGAATGAAAGGTTATTATTACTCTGTTTGTAATCAGGCATTGCTGGAAACCCTAAAGATGAGTAAAGGACTGAGTTTGAATCCATCATTTGACCAGGCAAGAACGTGTTCATGCCTCTTGAAGAGACTCCATTGGATCTTAGAAGCTCAAGAGCTGAGACAGGAGATGATGAAGCATAGATTGAGGATGAAGTATTGTTGTTCTCTATCTTGGGCATATGAAAAAAATGAGACATACCATGATGATGATGATCTTGCATGACCGGGAAAGACAGCAAGTTGAGATCTTTTGACTTATTAGGGATTTGGCTTGAGAAAAGAATCGGTGGGTTTAGATCTGGAAGCTTGGGATTAGAAGGTGAAGCTAAAGGTGTAGAGGATCTCTTGTTCTTTCTTGAGCTACCTCCGACAGGGACGTTTCGAAGAGAGCCACCTTCGGTCCAATACCTTCGACAACCTTTGCAGAAGTATCTTGGTTGCGTGAGACTGTAGTTGTTGTAATAACAGAACTTTGTGTTTGTTGAGTTGCATCTTGGACAGTTTACTTTCTCTAGTGGCCTCGCCTTTCTAGTTTCCATCGTGGTAGCCGTGTTGTTGTTATTTTCGCCGGAGCCACCATTGGATGCGGTGGCGTTTGGCCTTGCGTTGGTGGCGATGAATGTTGGTTGTTGTTGCGATGTATTATTGTTAGTGCTAGAAATCATTTGCTCCATTGGTTTTACGTTTATCATTTCTTGAAACCCCTATAAAATTAAGACGTACAGACTTAAATTATTCCCTAACCATGTCAAATTAAGCGAGATAACAATAACAAGCAAAACCGAATCTAGAATTTCGCCAAGATTAGGGTTTAGTGAGATGAATAAAATTCAAGTAATAATTATACCTTATTAAAAGCAAAACTATACTAGGTTTGTTGTTAACGTTAAATCGTCGGTGCGTTAACATAAAATTAATTAAAGAAATGAGACTAATTAAAATTTAGGAAATTTTTTGGTAAGACCTAAGCACCAAGAACAAAAGGTAACTAACAAATCATACCTTTTTTATCCATTAGTTATCAGACTTTTATAATTAATCACATGAAAAGTTGAAGTTGTAGAGAACTAAACTTCCTTAACTCCATTCGAGGACTTCGAAAGTTTCAAACGCATAACTCCTCCATGCAGTTTTCATATATAAAACTTTAAATTAAAACACATCATACATATTGATATCTCTATGAGACTATTTATATAACCACTATACTAGTTTCATACATACATGCATATTCACACACAACACATATGTATATATAAGTATGTGAGTAGAGAGATAAAAGAGAGAGAGAGGGTAAGGGTCAGGGAGCAGAAACAAACAGATATAGCAAAGAGATATCTTTTTACGTACCTGAGTCCACTTCGTAGCATCCATGAACTTCAACAAAGAGAAAGGCAGAGAGAGAGAGAGAAACTAAAGAGTAAAGAGCAAAGAGAGAATGTTTTGGAGATAGTTTTTTTTTTTGGACTTTTGCTTTTTTTGGGAGGATATGGCTCTCTATGCGTTAGCTTTCACTTTATGGATGATGAAAGAAAGCAGCCAAGAGGAAGAAGAAGAAGAAGAGAAGAAACCTGCAAAATAAAATATAATAATTGATATGAAAAAAGCAAAAGGAGGGTTTGTTGTTTTTGACTAGTGATAATAATGTCTCATGGCCTCCCTCTCTGGTTCTTTTCTGGTCCCTCTTTTAAATATTTTTAAAGGAAAAAATATCTGTCTAAAATATTGATTGTTCTATTTAATTAAATGGTTGGCTCAATAAACTAGTGGTTAGTATACAGTAAATAGTAGTAATACATTGTTCTACACATCGTGGTTTAAACTATTCAAAAATTTCAAGAAATTTGGAGTTGAATCACTTGCCATCATTTCATAATTTGCTAGTGAGTACTTTTTTTTTGATAAAGATTTGCGAGTGAGTACTTGTGTAATAATTTCTTTTTAAAGGTGAAATTGTGTAATTAAACCTTGTAGTTATGTTTTTTTTAAAGATGAAGAAATTATACCTTTATTATGCATGTTGATTACTCTTATTTCATATCATAATAATACAAAATGTGAGTGGAATTGTGAGTTGTATACTATTCCCGCCCACCCAATTTGTAATTAATATTATTTGCTGGGTTACGATCCGTCAATATTATTATTACCTTGTCAATTTCAAAATCCTTATACCATGACTACATACATAGATATCATAATTACTCTATATTTTATCTATAAATGTAGATTAGGTTACGAAATTCGGTGGCGAACTTGGAATTCTAATTGCAGATTAACTTATTATAAAGTTGTGACTTAATATGGTCGATAAAAACATATGATTTAATCTCTAACTTTATATAAAGTACTAACTAGTCTATATAATATGTTGACTGAATTCAGGAATATGGATTATTCTTCGGACGTAATATATAACACTTTCTTTTATTCAATTATGTTATTTCGACGAAGAAAAGGGACACCAAAATTTCACTCTTTATTTCAGTTGTGATCTGCTTTTTTCGTAAAAGGACCATTATATATTACACCACACATGGCTACATAAAGTTAATATGATTTTATTCTTAAATCGGTAAAGCTATACAACAAATGTCGCGTTAATCAGATAACTAAAATAAAAATTTGTAAAAAGCACATAAACTGAAAATCGAGGCTAATTATAAGAAACTAAGAAACTTTTCAAACTAACAATACTGCACGAGTTATTATGTCACATATAGCTTTTGCGTTTGTAAATAATCATTCTAAAAATATTTAATCACGTGTTATTTAAACGTTAAATTAAATATCCAACGTGCGACTTGGTTTACTAAAATGATTAAAATCACATTCATGTAATCAGATTATCGTTGTGGAGTTTAGTTAACTAACACCAGTTACTTGAGCATAAAAATTTAATTGATTATAACTAATTTTCATATCGATACAACAATCAATTACAGAAACTATAACTTAAAAACTAATCATAGAATTTTGGGTATATTTTTGACAAAGAAAGTAAAATGGTTAGTTATGTAAATATTAAAAAATGAGGGGTTGGAGAAGAAATAGAGAAGGACCGACAAGAAGCGACAAAAAGGAAGAGATAGGCCCCAGTTTTGAGGCGTGATTAGCTTTTTTGAAATCTAAGGACTTTTTTAATTATATTTTATTCAATCCATATCCCTGATGTTGACAACTGTCTTTCCTACCCAAAACACCCACCCCACCTTTCGTGTCGTTTTAATCTCCTAGCTTCACTTGCGTGCCGTTTTCTTTCGCCTTAAACGACCTACCACGTCGACGTGGTCTTTCAGCCACTTAAGCTAGAAGAAGCTTCTGTTGTTTTATTCTTCGGCCTTTTATATTATATGGCCCATTAGTTTTATTGGGCTTAAGAACATTGGTATACATTAGTTAGTTGTCTTCACTCCAACACAGAATGAACGAAAGTAAATGTGTGTATATGAAAATTTAAACAGTTTTTTGAAAACTTTCGCCACCAGAATTCGAAACTTTTTAATTTTTTATACAAAATATAATTTGTAGGACAATTTGATGTAATGATTATCGCATATGGAAGATCACATCCTAGCCACTAATTATGCATTATCTCTCCATTATATATGGCCCACATTACTTTTTCAACATCCTATACATTCGAAACCAGCTCGAGCATCATAAAAATAATTCGACAATTATTATGGTATTGGGCCAGTATATATGCTCAGAAAAGCCCATAATCCAGTAAGTATTTGCTTTGTATTATTTATTTATAATAAAATCTCTCTCCCTCAAAAGCTATGTTTTTTTTAGCTCCTTGTTCTTCCCTGGAACTTCTTGCAAAACAAAAGAAGACACGAACTTACATGTAATCGACGGTTCCATCGGAGAAAACATTTTTTTAGACAAATTAGGTTAATTTACCCAGAAATAACATCTAGTGACGTAAGAGAAACAATGGAGACCTCTTGTTCTTGTGGTCTTCATGTCATCTTCATCTTCCGATGGATAAATAAAACTACAACTTCCGGCCACATAATCCTCACCACCTCTCTCTTTCTTCCAGTGGAACCACCGTTTCCACCCCGAAAGACGACAGCGATGATTAGCTGTCAGAGGCATTTTGGTAAACTCGTCAGGAAGGAGCATTCTCGGTGGCAAATCAAGACACTTGGAGTAAGAAGGATGACGAACATGGTGTTTAGGCTTGCCAGGTTCTACTTCCCATGAGAAAGGAATCGAAGCGCGAGAGAGTGAATCATCAGGGGACGACAAGAGTGACAATGACACGTTGTTACTAGTTACCGGTGATGACAGGTATTGTAGCCTTCTCGATTTTGCTGCTAACACATGTTGAAGTTTCGATGTGATGATTATCATCGCCTCGTTATCGTCTTCTTCGTCAAAACTTGCTTTCTTGTTCTTTTTTTGGGTTGTAACCATATCTTTCTTGTTTCTGCATATTATGATTCCTTTGAAGAAGAAGACAATGGATTTAAATATATGTAATTGTCATTGAAGATGCAATGCTTGATATTTTTGGTACTGTTTAACTATAACCATTCCTCGAACTGAAAGTCAACCCGTACTCTTTTGTTGAGGAAAAGTAGTCAGAATAAATTCGACTACAACACAACTACAATCGTAATTAATTTTGTTTTCTTTCACCGAATAATTTTTTGCTATATGTATGAAGATTTAAGTTTTGTTTGATTTTATATCAACGGAGTACGATATTTGTAGCTAGCTCGTATATTATTATTTGAGTAAGGATGTTCTTTTTATATGATTTATTCTGACTGAAATCTATTCAGTTTAGTAAGCTTGAGGCTTTTTTTTTTTTTTGTAAAAGTAAAACAATTGCTCCATACTACGTAAGTACATAGCCACCACACCATGCATGTACTTCAGTTTGAAAAAATTGTTCTGTTTTTTTTCTCTTTTTTTGATAAGGCAAATCTGAATTAAACCAAAAATATTGATAGTTATCAACTAAAGTATCATTTGTGAGTCTGAAACTCAATCCGAAAATAAAATAGATTTTATTTCTGGCACGAGAACAACATGGAGAAAATTAAATAAGCTAAAAAGGTTGGAAATTAAAAGTTTGACAAAGGTAGAACTTGATAGAGAACAACATGGAGATTGGAGACTTATTTTTGGCACGATAAATTTGAAAATTCAGTGATTAGTTTTCATTTTTTGCGATTTCAGTTCAATTTTTAATAACACTCTACATTCTAAAAGTCCATTAGATCCACATATATTTACAAACTCCAAAATAAAAGAGAACTTTAGAGCATGTGCAGTGCACAGTTCTCATATGGGTTCTCACCAATAAAAAATTTAAAAGTAATAAAAAGTGGGAGAGAAAAACCAGAATCGATTCTCATCTGAAAACATTTGAGAACTCGACTACTTTTATACTTGTCAGCATATAATTGATTTTCAATTTTTTTTATTATTTAAAATTAAAATAAATAACTAAATTAAATCATATGTATTAAATCATAAATTAAATCAAAGTCTCTATGCACTGCACATGCTCTTAACTAGTCTTGTACTCTCGTCCAATAACCCAAAAAAGAGAAAGTCGTTGACTCCTTTACTTTTTCATGACTTCATATCATGCACACCGCTTTGGATTCCACGCCTTCAACAAATTTGTTGTATTCTCTAATGTTTATGTCAAAACTTTTTTTTTTGCCTTAATTATTGATTAAAAATATAATCTTTGAACCCATAACTAATTGATGTGTACTTGGTTTTGAAAATTGAATGGTTATGGAACACAAGAAGTACATAAAGATGTAAACCGACCCATCAACCACTGTCCCAAAACCGAAATATTAAATCGCCAACTTGAAAAATTGACATAAAAAAAAAAGAAGAGCAAAGACTTTTATATACACAGGCCACAGATTAAAAGTCTATAGACCCTTGCCTTACGTACTAAAACGACGTCGCCGAACTAACCTTAAATAACAGCTAAAACTCTCACCACCTACTATGATTATCATCAAATCATTCATTACCATATTCTTCATTCTCTAACGAAGAAGAAATCTTCAATTTCGTTGCCATTTTCTTAACCTCATCGCTCGAATATATAAATATCTTCTTAGCCATCTTGCAAAACTCACTGCACAAAAAAAAAACAGAACATTGAAAAAATCAGTTCCGGTTATAAGTTCACATTAACTGTTTTGAGCTAAACCAGAAAATCTTTATGACTTACTTCCATGGATCATCTCCAGCAAGCATCATATCTCCTTCATCATCTGTGAAGACAACGATCCATTTGTCTCGAGGACGAAGCTGTCCTTGAATCTCAAACATCTCCTCAAGCTCCTCAATCAGTTCATCGTATGATTTCAACAGTGTTAAATCAACCGCACGACCAACCGCAATGCCTTGCATTTGCACCTTTTATTCAATCCAAGATCAAAGAAATCAGATTTTCAAAACATTGTTGCTATGTTATATATGAGTTTTAAAGTGATAAAGATGATTACTTTAGTTCGACTTCTTGATGTTTGTTGCTTCTTCTGCTCATTCATTGAGGTTGGAGTGATGGGTTCTTGACACTTGGCAGCTCCACAAGTATCCATCGGTTGCTTGTCTTGAGGGAGTGGAGCAGGAGGATTGCTTGTGAGATCAAATCCAAATAACCTATAGCTACAATTCGTTGGACGAGGAGGAGGAGGAGGAGTCTCGGGTTTGAAGCTGTTGTTTGAGGAGTATCCACCTGAATTTCTCTCAAGTGATGGATCTTGGAACAATTTAAGGGATGCATTGATGGAATCTTGGCTCTGAGGGAGGCTGTACAAGAAACTAGGTGGGGCTGGTGTTATAACCGATGGCTCGGTGGGTCTTGACCGCTTGCATTTCAGTTGTGGTTGTTGAGCAGGGGTTGAAATTGGGGAAGTTGCCAAGAAAGGCTCAATCTCCCATGGTGAGACTTTGTCTGGTCTCTGAACTGTTGTTGGCTCATCCCATTGGACCTAAGAAAGACCAAGACAAAACATTACATAAAGATCATGTAATAAGTAAACCAGTAAAACTTAAGAACGTGGAATGGTTAACTGAACCTGCAATGACCTCCATTTAGAAGCTGGCCATTGTGATGATAGATCTCCAGTTCCCACAATTGTACCCGTAAATCTGAAGACACTCCAGGTTTCAGAATCAAGAACACTGAAAGAAAATGAACAGAGAAAATGAATTCTTACATTCTCTCAGGAGACTCTTCTCCTTCAAACCTCATTCTGAATCGGGTACCGAGTGAAAATCCATGCTTTATAGCTTCCATATACTTGTTCACCCCAACTATGAACTGGCTTATCCTGCAAAAGACAGAAAACTTTTCTTCAATCTAAGAGTCCTAAACCATCAATGTATATAAAGCAAAAATCATCTAAAGAACATTTCTATATACCTAGGCTTGTAAAACACAACAAAGATTGTTGTTGTACGCACAGCATGAGAAGCTGTAGCAAGAACTCCCAAATGCATGCTCTGACTCGAGATAACCGAAGTAGGCATTGTGCTTTGATGCCGAGCTAATCGCCTCACTCCAACTCGTAAATCACCATTCTCACCCCTGAAACAAACAAAGGTATTACATTAGGTTCATGAAACTAAAACAAGACCAGTGAAGAAGTTTCAATTTCAAAAGTACCTCAAGAACACAAAAGCATCTCCAGCTACAAGTCTTTTCGAGGATACAAATGTACTCCAACCCGTTGTAAGCAAATGCCTCCGTGGTTGCCCTAAACCAAAAACAACACTCAATGTCTCATTTAGTCCAAACACAGTTTCAAAATAAAAAAACACAAAGATTAGTATCAATACCTCTGAATATATGCTTAAACCTCCATTCAAACCCATGAAGATCTCTAGTCACAAGTTCTTGAGTAGGAGTCGCTTGTGTCATATCCTAAAAAGTGTAAAATTGGAGTGAGAATCCAAGCTAAAGTTTCTACAAATGAGAAGATTTATATAAGAAATTTTACCAAAGCAGGCAAGCATTCAGTGGCGTGTTTACGAAGAACAGAGAATCCACCATGAGTGCTTGTATCTGAAGCCGTTAAAATCTTCACAAACGAATGAAACATTTGCTTAGTTGGTTCAACCAGAGGTGGATCAAGACTTGTGGGTTCACTTTGCTGCAAACAAAACAGTAAATCTAAATCAATCAAATATAATCCTCACTGAAAAATAAAGTTGAGCTCTTTTTTTTGTGTGTTAAGAACTTACATCTTCCTCTGGTTGTAATGTGATCTGAGCGTAAACTTCATCTGTTTCATGCTCCGCCTTTAAATCAAAACTTAAAAACTTTTTTAACAGATTCAGTGGAAATAAATAAAGGGGGAAAAAACAAGAATTATGATTGAATTTTTTACCTTTAAAGTGATACCAAGAACTCGACAAAGAATCTTTGGAGGAAGATCAAAAACAGGTATTTCTTCTGATTTGATTCCTTGATTAGTTGACGCCACAAGCTGCAAAACCCAGAATTTAGAAAGAGAATGAGGAAAGAAAAAAAGAAAATTTAAGTTAAAGAGATGTTTTTTTTGGGATATACTTGTTCCATGTGACCCTGAGGGAAGTAGAAAACTCTCTCGTCAGCACGAGGAACTTCCACTAATGGACCTGCACAAACTTTCCATAGCTCTGTGTATAGTTGATCTTGATAAAACCCTATAATCAAACAACAACAAAAAAAAAACTAACAGTCACATTTCCGCGGCAAAACATAACAAAAAAAAAATGTGAATTTGGAGCTATACGAGAAAAGATAAGAAAATGGGTTTTTTTTTTCTTTTTCTTTCTAAGCTCGTTTTCCGAGAAAATGAAGGAAAAAAATCGAAACTTTACTAAGCTGATTTTGATTCTACAGAGTAAAAACCCCAAACAGAGTCACTGTTAGAAACAACAACAAAAAAATCGAAACTTTCTCAAGTCTCAGCCTTTTTTACTCACTTGACGAAGAACTTCCGAAATCGTCATCACCTTCAGCACTCGCCATTGAAGAACCCAGATGAGAACTGGAGAAGAAGAAGTAGTAGAAGAAGAAGGAGAGGAAAATGAAACAAAATAAAAAGAAAAAAAAAAAAAAACCTTCACGCGGTAAACACTACTCTTAACCCCATGAAAGAAACACGAGAGAGAGAAGAAAGAAAAGACCCATCAATGGAGAAGCAAAAAAATAAAATAAAAAAGCAAAAAACTTTATTAACAAGACACAACGGACGGTTATGTCCGTATTGATTGCAGAACGTAATTCAGGCACTGTTGGATAAAAAAAAAATCTCTCCTTTTTTTTTCCTCCAGCCACGAAACCGATCTCTCTCTCTTAAATCTTTTTTTTGTCTTCTCCTTTCCTTTCAGATTCCGTGTTGTTTTGCTTCAACAATCACAAACTTCTCGCCGTTTTTTAATTTATTTCAAGCTTTGCTTACTTCTCCACACCTAACCCCGATCTGCAGCAAACCAAAGCTGCTTCCTTTTTTGAAGAGGTCTCACGGTATCATGCACATATTCACACTCTCTCCTTCTCTCTCTCTATATATATATATATCAAAATATAAGAGATACTTTCTCTTAGTTCAGATCCTGGAGACCTGTCATTTCCACCCACAGTAACTTCAGTTGAATTCCCTATTTTTCTATTCATTTTATTTTATTTTTCTTAAATTGTTGTTTTTTTTTTTGTTTTATCATGTCACCGCTAAAAAGGAAACTCAATTTTGTTACCAAAAAATCAAATCAAATTTAAATGTGCCAAAAAAATCAAATCAAAAATTGGGTACAAGGCAAACGAAGGGTCACGACGTTTAGGGAATTGCTTATGACTAACTACAATAAAAAAAAAACCGTACGGTGCATTTAAAGGAGAGGGACAATCTCAGCCGTCCGATAAAGACGATCGTAATAAATAAGCCTATCACTTACTCTACATCCCTAAATTGCCCCTTTTACTGATGATCCCGTTGCCGTTAAGACTTGACGGTGCCGTTACCCACATCGTCTATTTTTTTCCTTGTGTCTGGATCGTGGCAGGCAATCGTGTCGGCTTCTCTATTATACCCCGGCCACATTTTCTTTTTTTCCGTTATTTTTTTCATGTAACATCAGGTTATTTTTTCCGTTACAGATTTTATTTTTATTTCACACAGTGGAATGTGAGTTAATTACACAATGTACCACTGATCGTTTCCTTTCAAGGACCCACAAAAGCTATGGCTACACCCACACTCGCACAAGGTCACAGCCATGACTCTTTATGGGACGAGCGTCTTGGGAAGCGTGTGAGTTATGTTAGCACGTGCCGAGTCAGTTCTGAGTCGCGCGTGTTCATGTTGTACTCTTTTTCTTCACGCGCTTCAATCTTAGCAAATAAAAAATCGAAACTATAAGCAAAATTCATGTTTACGGATTTGATAGAATTATCGTGAATTATAGAGAAGGCAAAATCTGTAACGTCAAAATATAAGTGAAACAATTGAACGGATAAACAGAGAGTGGAAAACACGCGCTTACGAAATGAGAGTGGAAAAGAAGAGTGATAAAAGTAGAGAAAGCCATGCCGAAGTGTCGGAGGAGTCCCCACATGGACACGTCAGAGTTAGAGAAATTGCCACGCTGTTTAGTCGTATTTATGACCGACACGTGTCAAATTCTGACTTGTCCTACCAATTTGCTCATTTACAGAGGGAAAAACTCTTCTATTCCTATTTTCTTTTTTATTTTATTTTTATTTTTCCCAATGATAGTGAAGAAGAGCACGATCCAAAAATATTATTGCATTTTGATTTGTGTATACACTTGTATTTAATAAAATTTGTTACACGAATCAATGTAGGCTGTATAACTATTGGGTTTTATAGTCTAAGATTTACCTATAAAACGTCGACCATATTAAATAGCTTACCACTTTTTCTTTGGGTTGAAATGTGAAATTGATTAATCAACTAGATATATACATAGCGTTTGAACGTATAAAAGCTAAGAGCTTATCTTAGAGCAAATCTTAGACTAAACAGAGCATCTAGTGAGTCAAAACAGAGCACACAAGTAATCTGAACCTTTGTAATCATATACATTGCACACAAAATAGAGCTTCATCACTTTTTTCTCACTATAATCATAAGTTCATATTTCTTCAATGTTACCATGTATTTCCACTCAAAATTATCGTATAGAGTTCTCTAGCAATTTAATAACAAAAGGCCTACAAGAGTGTTTTATGCATCACGAAACACTATTACAATATTTAGTCATCGTTGATTAAATTATTCGACCGCATTACAAAACGAAATGTGATGCATTATCAATTGGAATCATAGTCTCACTTCTCTAACTAGTTGATTGTTGATAGGGAAAAAAAAGTAATTATTAATTCTTTCTAAAAAAAACTTATTTAAAAGAGTGCAAATTATTGTACGGACGAATCCTTGCAAAGCGGAGAGGAGATTTGAAAGAATCGAATTTCATTACCAAAGGTTGAATTAAATAGTAGAAACATAATTATAGAAAAGGCAATAGGATGAGATTACCATAAATAAGAGATTTAACGGAATTAAAAGATAAATTTTAACAATGATTCTTATCCTGCATGAGATTTCATGCTTGCATCTATCACACAATATACACCTAAAGAAGATCGATGATGCCAAATTTGAACGTCATTTCAGTTGCGTTAGTTTTTTTTTTTTTGGTGAATATTTGAATATCTTTTTTAAGTCAGTGACTAATTTAATATTTAGCTGCTACGGATTATGCTCTCAAGTTGAAATTATTTATACACAGAAAAAGGTTAGTAAAATTAAATAAATATAGGATTAGGAATATGATCATTCAAAGTGAATATGAACCCATGGATGGGAATTAATAACTATACATTAGTTAAGTATTTTTTATTTAAAAATTGCTTAGTGGTTTAGTGGAATCCATTCCACAAAATCTTTTAATTTTGTTTATTCTTCTTAATCACTGTTATATTCCATTGATATATTTGATAATATAGTTAATCACCTGTTTAGTCATAGTCACCACGTCATTTAACAAGAATTTAGGAATATTCGTATTTCTTATATTTACATATTGATCTAATCAACGATACTCCTTTGTTATAAAAAGAGAACGAAAAGTTGTGGTTATCAACAGTACACTACCATCATGGTCCTATCTTCTACTATAAGGTTATGGTTATCAACAATACCACTGCGGTACGATTAAGAATTACCAATCAAGCCAATGTGATTAGATTGTTTTGAGAACCAAATTACTAGCTTAAGTTGATAACCCAGTCAACAAAATACCATTTGAATCCAACGTCGTATATATTTTCAACCTCTTGCAATAATTTAACTTTCAAATTTCTACAAACCAAACTTATTTTAAAATTGTTCTGTACAATTTCGCTATTTGACCGTACACCACATTTCGTCCCTGTCTTCCATTATGCTTATAACGAGTATAAAGTATACTCTTTTTGTTCCTTAAAGTTTGATGTTCTAGTGTTTTGAGTTTGTTCCATAAAAATTAATTTTCTATTATTTTTTTTATTTTTAATTAATTTATTTTAATAAATTATAGATTTTAAGACGTAATGATTAACTGTTTCAGATTACTATTAGTTCATAGTTTATTAACAAATATTTAATAAAAGTAAATAATTAAACAATGATTGTTTCTTAAAAATGTAAAATCTCTAGAAAATCAATCTTTTAGCAACAGAGAGAGTACGTTTTTTTTTGGGCACAATATAAACAAAAACTCATATATTGTTTTGAGAACCAAATTACTAGCTTAAGTTGATAACCCAGTCAACAAAATACCATTTGAATCCAACGTCGTATATATTTTCAACCTCTTGCAATAATTTAACTTTCAAATTTCTACAAACCAAACTTATTTTAAAATTGTTCTGTACAATTTCGCTATTTGACCGTACACCACATTTCGTCCCTGTCTTCCATTATGCTTATAACGAGTATAAAGTATACTCCTTTTGTTCCTTAAAGTTTGATGTTCTAGTGTTTTGAGTTTGTTCCATAAAAATTAATTTTCTATTATTTTTTTTATTTTTAATTAATTCATTTTAATAAATTATAGATTTTAAGACGTAATGATTAACTGTTTCAGATTACTATTAGTTCATAGTTTATTAACAAATATTTAATAAAAGTAAATAATTAAACAATGATTGTTTCTTAAAAATGTAAAATCTCTAGAAAATCAATCTTTTAGCAACAGAGGAAGTACGTTTTTTTTTGGGCACAATATAAACAAAAACTCATATATTGTTTTTTTTTTTTTTTTTTTGGCTTTTGGTGGAGCCTTAACAAGAGCATTTTAGGGGTAATTATTTTAATAAATCTTAGCATATAGGTCTTGTTAGACAATAAACAATAATTTTAAGCTGTGCTAAAATCATAAAAACGACTCTTCCATCCTCTAAAAGGGTAAGGTGTCTTAAAACTCTAAGTTCGCTAATCACCAATAATTCTGATAAATTAAAGTATGATTATCTCTGTAGTCAATAATACTAATCTACAAATTAAAAGCTCTCGATGCATATACATCGGATCCGTTATTCGATTAGGGTGAGAAATCAGATCCTTCCTTGTTGCAATACGTAACTTGGAAATATTTTCCTTTTGGTGAAATTAAAACATTACATGCGAAAAAGACATTTACTCTCTCCACTTCTACCTATAACAACTCCTAAAGATTATTTCATAATAATTTGGGAAATGAAACCATTTTTTGTACTATAAGTCTATAACCAAACGAAGTTCACAATTACTCAAAATTTAGTAGTTTGTATTAGTGACATCAAGTCTCGTCATTCGGATTCAAACTTTTATATTGCATGTTGTTAAAAAAACAAAACGAATTAGCATAATGTGTGACCTATATGTACATAATCGTAAACGTACAAGTGTGTATATTCAACAGTGTTTAGTTGGATCAAATGATTACGTTTTTCTAAATGTCTTTATTGTACTCCGTATGATGACAATGTTATTTGGAACATATGATCATTTTTTTCTACTTTTTTCAACAATATAAAGGTTGATTAATTTTCTATGGTTAAAAACAAAATAAAAAGTTGGCCAAGTATTATTAACTCATTGAAATTGTATGCATAATACTAGTGACATATATTTTGTAGAATTTTCATACGTATTATCCATTGGTTCTAGATCTAATAAAATGATGGCACAAATATGTATGTATTACTAGTATCATTGTTGTTTTATTGGATCAAATCTGTTTGTATACACAACAAAAAAAAAAAAAAAGAATAAGAGTTGAATTATAGAAACTTTCCAAATATGAAGAAGTGGGACTTTTGCATTAGCCATTGGACACATGTAAAAGAAATTCAAATGGTGTAATCATATCATTCGCACTCTTTGGCTCTTTTCTCCGCTTCTTCGATCCCAAACCTGAAGTGGGGAGTCACGCAGGTCGCAGGGATTGTCAATTATTCAGGGGTATTTTGGTAATTTTCAGGAAATCGTCCGTACAGTCCCAAGGGTCGCTTTCGACCTACTTCACTCCCACTTAACCGTTAGGTCAAGCTCCCATCTGGGAGAATCTTTTTGAGATCCTTTACCAAAGTATACTATTTAAAAGAGTCCGTACTTTTTCTTCATATAAAAACAATCTCATTGAACGAGTTCAAGGCTAATGTTTAATACAATCATTACATGTTAAAACAACATTAATGATATCTGCATGGCACCATATTCATATCCAGTATTTATAAAAACCGAAACATTGTTCCTCTTACCAATATAGGACTAACTTAGGAGAGATCCTGTGTTTTCTCATCCATTATTGTTCTCTTTTATTAAATTTGTTTAAAGTAGTTAGGTATGACTCCAACGATATACCAATCTATATATATATATTTTTTTTCTCAATACCAATCTATATTTATTGTTTTCATTTTAATTCAGTTAATCAAATGTAAATGTTACATCACAAGGGATTGATCGATTTGTTATCATTATAAATGGAAAGTAAAGAACAGCCAAAAGACAAAAACATGTACATATATGTTTGATTCTGGATTCAATTATACACACTGTAAAATTTATGTGTAGCTTTGGGTGAGTCCGTGAGTTGAGTGATAAATTCAGTTTTAGATTGATGTGAAAAAGGTGAATAATAAAATAAGAGCAGAGGGGACCATAAAGATAGATATATCACATGATCTCTTGATCAGACTCAGAGAAGATGGGCCTCAATTTCTCTTCTTCCCCCATTACTTGTCCCTGCATAACCTTCTGGTTCTAGATAAGTCTTTTTACTTGAACGTTTAAATCTTTCTGGTATAAACGGAAAATAGTACTATTGTTGAAAATTAGCACTATAGCAAATTAGCAACTAACACTCTAACATTAAATGTTTAACTAGAAATTGAAGATTTAAACTAGAAAATGAA